TGCGTGATTGTCACTTGTCGTTTGACATCATCCTTATGCCAACAATGGTTGTAACTCTACGACCCTTTAAATTCTTGGACCTTTCAGCATTTCATGCAGTTTATTCAGTTTTTGGATTTTTTCAATGTAATCTTTATTCATGGGGTTATTTATTGCTTAGATTGCAGGAACTTTCAGCAGGAACCTTTCAAAGATTCTTCTAGATATTGTAATGGGTTCTGCGTCCACGAATTGCAGGTCTTTGTGTTTCTTAAAGACACTTACAAAGAAGCACCTTTTGATCCATACTTTTATTTCATTACTACGTAATAGTTAACCGCCAAAGCAATGGTATGACATGTTAAAGCAGTGACTGCTGTATGATGCTATAACTAAGGATATGTGGTCTCAGAGTGATTGAGCAGAAAATTGTCGTATGCAGCGACTTTTATATAATATTCTTATTCGATTTTCATCTTGACAGTTGCGATCATAATACGAAATCTACCATATTTATTTTTTGGCTGTCGACTCAGATTTTGGCCTACTTTATGGGCTCGGGAAGAACTGTACGGAAGGCTACCTTGCGCTGGTAGTGCCGGTAGACATGGTTCTTAGAAGCGGTGCGATACGGTGGTGACAATTCCAGTAAGGGTGGTTTGGGTATTTCCCATTCGCACCTGGCATCTAGAAAATTGCAGTTGCAGTCATCGTTAACCTTGAATAGCGTTCGATAGACGATTAATTTTCCTCCAACAGTCCATACACGACATACCATAAGTACCTGCAATGGCGGTGTGCATTATAGTCACAACAATGGCCATCTCGATAAAACTGTCAGACCACAGTTTTGTAGCGAGGGTCGGGGGTGGGGGCTCGCGACCCTTGTTTGCATTTTGGATTGTAACTTGAGGCTGTTTCCTTTTTAAAAAGGAAATTGCATAGGTTTAAAATATACTTGTTTAATTACTTCGATATGGTGTAATGCATTTTAACATGGCACCGCTAGACGCTGAACAGCTACACAATGACATCGCATAAGAGAAAAAAAAGGTAACAAGAAATGACTGATCCTTCTTCGTAATTAAAGAGAATTACCATTGCCTAATTTTAATGCCCACGTTCGTCTGTCTCTTGCGGTTTGTCACCACGTACTTCATCTTCGTTGTAGCTCACTTTCCCATCTGAGCAGAGGTCTTCGATTTGAGCTCTTGCAGCCCTTCGATATTAATCTGCCATCAGTGAGTCTTGCTATGTACTCCACCATTGTCCGAATCGAGCGGCATGCAGGGCACTTGGGGACCATTTTTTGTTTGTACTTTTCATTGCATTCGAAATTGGTAAATCGTTTTGGCAATCGTTCTCACTTGCCTGGCATCTGTAGCAGAACATCCGTTTGCCCTTAACAGCGGCTCTGTGAGGTTCGGGCCACTCAGACTTTCTCAGGGGGTACTCGACTATGGTTGCCGCTTCTCTGATGGTTTCTCCTCCGCGCCATGGAGTGGTTACTCATCTCGCTAACGGAATAACAAATGAATGCAGTTATTTGAAGAAACGCTTTGTTCGTCGTTCTAGAAGAAGGATGTTTTTCTCGTCCTAAAAATCACCGATGTAAGTACCTTCGAAACGTCTAATTTGTGTTAATCGTTTTCTTGTCTTTCGTGCTGCTGATCATAAAGGCATAAGATTTTTCGGCTTTTGCGCTGATTTAAATTTCTTGTTTGAAATTTTCTGAATTAATGCATGTCTAAATAAATCGCAAACTTTGAAGCAGTTTATTCAAGCTAGTAATCACCCGTATTGGATAGTCGGTCATATTTCTTATTTTAAATAGGTTTGTGAAAGGTAATGATTACGGTCAGTTATTAAACGATGGAGCGATGATAGCCCTGCTGTGTGACCGATCGACGTGTCTTTCCTTGTTCGTGCGGATGTCACGGTAATGCAGTTGCATCTTTTCCACTCCTCCCTGCTCCCACTTTGACAGTGTATAATGTCTCGTGACACATGATTCGCTCTGGTCTGATGCCGAAAACTGCACAGATGCATGAAATTCCAATTTAGACGTTGAATTTGCTGTTTGTAGCATTTCAGCGATGCCCGGTACAACAGAACCGGCGATTGTCCATCTTCCGGTAGCGTAGGGATTGCAAGCC